CTATTGGACAACTGTTAAAATTCATATTATGGCAAGAACCAATCAGCTAACTAAAGAAAAACGAGTGGCCATCATTACTTTAAGAAATGAAGGTCAGTCAGTCCGGAAAATTGCAAAAACTTTAAATGTGTCCCCAAGTGGAGTCGCAAAAACCATCAAGCGCTACAACGAAACTAGCACACATGAGGACCGACCCAGGAAAGGAAGACCAAGAGTCACCTCTGCTTCTGAGGATAAGTTCATCCGAGTCACCAGCCTCAGAAATGGCAAGTTAACAGCAGCTCAGATCAGAGACCAGATGAATGCCACACAGAGTTCTAGCAGCAGACCCATCTCTAGAACAACTGTTAAGAGGAGACTGCGCCAATCAGGCCTTCATGGTCAAATAGCTGCTAGGAAACCACTGCTAAGGAGAGGCAACAAGCAGAAGAGATTTGTTTGGGCCAAGAAACACAAGGAATGGATATTAGACCAGTGGAAATCTGTGCTTTGGTCTGATGAGTCCAAATTTGAGATCTTTGGTTCCAACCGCCGTGTCTTTGTGAGACGCAGAAAAGGTGAACGGATGGATTCCACATGCCTGGTTCCCACTGTGAAGCATGGAGGAGGAGGTGTGATGGTGTGGGGGTGTTTTGCTGGTGACACTGTTGGGGATTTATTCAAAATTGAAGGCACACTGAACCAGCATGGCTACCACAGCATCCTGCAGCGACATACCATCCCATCCGGTTTGCGTTTAGTTGGACGATCATTTATTTTTCAACAGGACAATGACCCCAAACACACCTCCAGGCTGTGTAAGGGCTATTTGACCAAGAAGGAGAGTGATGGAGTGCTGCGGCAGATGACCTGGCCTCCACAGTCACCGGACCTGAACCCAATCGAGATGGTTTGGGGTGAGCTGGACCACAGAGTGAAGGCAAAGGGGCCAACAAGTGCTAAACACCTCTGGGAACCCCTTCAAGACTGTTGGAAAACCATTTCAGGTGACTACCTCTTGAAGCTCATAGAGAGAATGCCAAGAGTGTGCAAAGCAGTAATCAGAGCAAAGGGTGGCTATTTTGAAGAAACTAGAATATAAAACATGTTTTCAGTTATTTCACCTTTTTTGTTAAGTACATAACTCCACATGTGTTCATTCATAGTTTTGATGCCTTCAGTGAGAATCTACAATGTAAATAGTCATGAAAATAAAGAAAACGCATTGAATGAGAAGGTGTGTCCAAACTTTTGGCCTGTACTGTATATATATGTATATGTAGTGGCCATTTGTTCAAAAGAGTAATCCAAATCAAACTCGTGTCAAACAAAAACAAAGGACCACTGCCGCACAATGAGCATGTAGTGTACGCAGGCAAAAGAAAGTCATTGTCCATGCAAAGTTAATGAGTTTCCAGTGGTTTATTCAACCAAAAACAAGCAAGCAAACAAAGAACAAAGAAATCCCTGCATGCCTCTCCTGCTCTGGTAAAAAACCATATGCCCACCCAGGTGCATTCTGGTCGCCTACCTGCTTTCCTACATATAAAAACTTTGGTGCCCACAGTATGCCCAAAACGAAATGAAACAGTGAACAAATACTAAACAAGAAACAACTAAACTAAATGAATAATTAACAAAACAAAATACTAGCAAACATAATCATAACGAAACCAAATATTTAGAATAATCAAATAATATTAATTATTAGCGAAACAACTAAATACTAACAACAAATAAATAGCTCCAACAATATATATATAGATATATATATATATATGTATGTCTATATATATACAGCCCTAGCTTGGCTCCCCATTGTAACTGGCCTAGAACCGCCACTGATAATAATATAACAATATACTATTTATCGTGTTATGCCATCGTGTCATTTCTGTCTCTGCATGGTCACGCGTTAACAATTCTCCTCTGCTCTCTGTATCGCGCACAGTGGAGTTCCGCCACACACACAGGTGAGCATGCATGCTTTCCTGATCAAACCTGACCCCAAGCCCGGTGCAGTTTGTCAGCTGACAAAGTTATTGTTATGGACAGTGTGTAAATAACCATCAAAAGACTGCTGTTAGGCACAGACAAACACACCGCTTGCACAGCAGCCAGCACAGCACTCATTTGGTGCGGAGCTTGTGTTGCGTTCAGGCGTTGTCACATAAATAACAACTTCCAGCACTTAAATAGGTCATAGCACAAAACAGCAGCATGTCAAGTGACTTTATACTTTAATTATATTAAATAAAAATGTATAATCCTAAATCTTGAGAAACCTCATATGAAAACTAGACAGACATTTCACCTGCTCATTACTGTGCACAAATGTACTGTATGTACTTAGTACTAAAGAGCCCTTCTGGTGCCAGTAGATACATAGAAACATCCCAGCAGGCTGTGCTTGGCAAGCATACAAAAAAGTTTCACACGTGAAATTTTTTTTTTTTGCATGTGCTTCACTTCCGCTGCTACAACTCCATCCTAGGGGAAACACTGTATATAGTGACTTTGCTGTTTTAAACTTAACTGTTCCTGCTGTAGAAACAATATTTGGTTTATTCCATTTATACCGTAAGAAACCTCGGAGTAAAATTTGATCAAGATTTGTCTTTTAATTATCATTTAAAACAAACCTCACGGACTGCATTTTTTCATCTGCGTAGTATTGCGAAAATTAGGCCTATCCTGACCCGAAAAGATGCAGAAAAATTGGTCCACGCTTTTGTTACCTCAAGGCTGGATTACTGTAACTCTCTATTATCAGGTAGCTCTAGTAAGTCCTTAAAAACTCTCCAGCTAATTCAGAATGCAGCAGCACGTGTACTAACAGGAACTAAGAAACGAGATCATATTTCTCCTGTTTGAGCTTCTCTGCACTGGCTCCCTGTAAAATCCAGAATTGAATTTAAAATCCTACTGTTAACTTATAAAGCTCTAAATGGTCAAGCTCCGTCATATCTTAGAGAGCTCATAGTGCCATATTATCCCACCAGAACACTGTGCTCTGAGAACGCAGGGTTACTTGTGGTCCCTAAAGTCTCCAAAAGTAGATCAGGAGCCAGAGCCTTCAGCTATCAGGCTCCTCTCCTGTGGAATCATCTTCCTGTTACGGTCCGGGAGGCAGACACCGTCTCCACATTTAAGACTAGACTTAAGACTTTCCTCTTTGATAAAGCTTATAGTTAGGGCTGGCTCAGGCTTGCCCTGTACCAGCCCCTAGTTAGGCTGACTTAGGCCTAGTCTGCCGGAGGACCCCCCTATAATACACCGGGCACCTTCTCTCCTTCTCTCTCTCTCTCTCTCTCTCTCACTCTCATCCTATTACTGCATCTTGCTAACTCGGCCATTCTGGATGTCACTAACTCGGATTCTTCTCCGGAGCCTTTGTGCTCCACTGTCTCTCAGATTAACTCATATTGCAGCGGTGCCTGGACAGCGTGACGTGTGTGGTTGTGCTGCTGCCGTGGTCCTGCCAGATACCTCCTGCTGCTGCTGCCATCATTAGTCATTAGTCATACTTCTACTGTTATTATACACATATGATTATTATCACACATGTATACTGCCAGATACTAATATATACTTTCAACATATTGTACCACAGTAGCCAGAACTATAACGATAATATTATTACTTTCATTAATGTTGTTGTAAGCTACTGTCATTACTGTCTGTCCTGCATCTCTCTCTCTGTCTCTCTTTCTGTCTCATTGTGTCATACGGATTACTGTTAATTTATTATCCTGATCTGTTCTGTACGACATCTATTGCACGTCTGTCCGTCCTGGAAGAGGGATCCCTCCTCAGTTGCTCTTCCTGAGGTTTCTACCGTTTTTTTTCCCCGTTAAAGGGGTTTTTTAGGGGAGTTTTTCCTTATCCGCTGTGAGGGTCCAAAGGACAGAGGGATGTTGTATGCTGTAAAGCCCTTTGAGGCAAATTGTGATTTGTGATATTGAGCTTTATAAATAAAATTGATTGAACTGATTGATTGATTTATTTAAATATATAAATCAATTCTAATCCTGTTCTGAATGTATTCTTTTTTTAATGTTAATTAGAAAAACCCTAATTCTTAGCTTAACTTAGTGTTGATCAAGAACCAGACTGTTAAGACTAAAAAAGTTGTGGTATCGGCTGATCAATCGGCTATCGGTTTTTTCCTACTCCAAACTATCATTATTATATCAGCCTTTAAAAGTCCACTATCGGTCGACCTCTAGAGGGGACCCCTCCATTATTGACCCAATCAAACAAAATGGGGGCGCTGGAGAGCTCATTTCTTATCTAGGCCTAACTGCCATATCGATTTTTACTAAACCTCTTTTTTTGCCTATATTTGACAGGTCAGTGAAGCATGACAGGAAGGATGGGAGAGAGAGAGCAAGGAAGACATGCAGCAAAGAACAAAGGCCGGATTCCAACCCCCACCGCTGCAACAAGGGCTAGGGTTCCCATGTGAACTACCAGTGCGCCCCACTTTCAAGTCAATACAACATATAAACACTTTAACTATCTACCTTTCAGCATACTACCTCAACTTCTAATGTACAGTTTTAGCTCACTAAATATCCCACTATTGGCAATGGTACTACTGTACTTTTAATAAAGCAATCGTACTCGTAATCAAATTCACAAAAACTTTGTCTGAATACATTGGTCTTCTTAAGCTCAGTGGCCTAGTGGTAGAGTGTGCGCCCTGAGACTGGGAGGTCGTGGGTTCGATCTCCAGCTGGGTTATACCAAAGACTATAAAAATGGGACCCAATGCCTCCCTGCTTGGCACTCAGCATCAGGGGTTGGAATTGGGGGGGTTAGATCACCAGGGCCCAGTATTTCAAAACTTGTAATCCGGATCAGAATAATCCGGATAATGAAATCCTCCTTTTCTCAGTCAGGGATCAAGGTGATCCTGCTGACTTTATCTGGGTATTAAGGATTTCCAAATCTCACGACTCCGCCCCCGGATCTGAAACGTTTCCCGTTTGGGGGCGTGGCTTTCAGATTATGACACGCTGTGCTCTGTCTCCACGGCGGAGTACTTCACGAAAGGAGCAGTTGGTAGCACAGCTTTCGCATCAAAATGTAAGTATACCGTTGTCTAATGTGTAGCGTTTTTAAGACCATACAAAGGCCACTCACCATCTCATGTGAGCCAGCTATTTGAATTGTCATCTACTTAAAACATGGGCGTACCGATCTCTAATTGAGCCGAGGTCATGCTAACGGTAGCTAACGCGGCTCCATTGACTTGCATGTTAAGTAGCTAGCAGGCTAGCGAGGTAGCTGGCTTTGTTGATGTATTTTGCGGTCTACGGTTTAATTTAAAAGGTAATTAATCAGAAGTACATCATATATCAACTCTTTAAACACCAACCTGTTCCGAGTTTAACCTTATGTTATTGCCAACACAGCAGACCTTGTTATTTTTGTGTGCAGAGTAGACTGCTTCAGTATAGGAAAAATACACAGTTCTAGTATGAATGATGCGGTTCATTCATAAGTGTCAGAGGATTGAGTTTGGGTATGCTACAGTAATGCTGGTGATATGCTTTTCTGTAACGTTACTTAAACAATTTCTCTGGCTATTGTGGATTCCTGACAATGATAAAGATTCCCAGGGATTTTAAAGGTGCATTTACAAGCTTATCTGAATTAAGTAAAATTTATCTTCATTAAATCAGAAGCATGAAAATATACATTGAAAGTGCTTAAATGTGATTCAAATTGAGACATACAGCAATGTTTTTTCAGGACATAGTTGAGCTATTACTTTTCCCCCCTCAAACATGTGATGTAACATTGGAAAAATGCAAGTGCACACATATCATTTGTTTCTAATTGCTTTTTTAGTACTCTGTTTGAATTGCCATGTGCTTATTATGTTAATCCCTGTGTTGTTTCTTGCACTCTATGTAAAGAAAATGTGCTATACAAATAAATTTGCTTTGCACTGCATTTCCTTGCCTTTGTCTGACCACAAACATATGTTGGATGTTTTGGTACAAACAGGTTACAATGTTAGGTGAAACTAGACGTTGAGAAATAGGTCTGTATTTGTTACTCTTATTTACAGCAGTTTCAGGAAGTATGGCCAAACAATATTTTTCTATGCTTGAAATTACTTACAACTAAAACACTAATTTAGATGAAGTGTAATGAACATCTTGAGTATCAATATCTAGGAGAAGTGGAGCTGAGGCTTTGTCAAATCCACCTCTGAGGTGGGATCCAAATAATCCTGAAATTTGGTATTAAATTGATCCAGATCTCTGCCTTAACTTTTGAAACACCCAAATGCAGCCTTTATCTGGATTAAAGGGAGGATTGGATTACCAGAGCTGAATCCTGATCCTCAGGATCAGGATCCTCTTGATCTGTGTTGAAATACCCAGTTTTCAGATCAGATCAGGATTTAATCCAATCCGGCCAGGATAATTCTATCAGATAACTTTGAAATACTGGGCCCTGATGATTCCCGAGCGCGGCACCGCTGCTGCTCACCACTCCCTCTGGGGATGGGTCAAATGCGGAGAACAAATTTCACACACTCAGGTGTGTGACAATCAATGAAACTTTAATCTTTTGATCTTTAATGGGTTCAGTTGACTATTTAATCTGCAATTTCCTATGACCTGTATCCCAAACACACACCATGTGAAACTGTACGTGGGCAAATGTGCACTCAGTGGGTATGGACTAGTTCTATTCTACGTGTTTTCCCTATGCAGTAAGTTTATTTTGAAAAGACACGATGCATGTAACAAGCATCAACTGAGACGCCATCTGTGAACATACAAAACTGATGCAGGAGGGTACCTAGCACGTCATATTTTGACAATTAGGTTCACTGACAAAGCAGCAGTATGTGACTAGTTGGGATGAGAATAGGTCAATTTAATGACTGCCATTCTTAATGAATGCAGTACCGTTCTTAATGAATGGCAGTCAACTGCTGTACCAGCTTTTATATGATTGTGTCTACGTCTTTTCACAGAAATTCTCCATAGTTCATCTTTAAAATCAGGTAAAGGTCTTTGTAACTGCATTGAGAGAGGTCAGTGTCAGCCACCTAACAGTATCAGCAACACATATTCACAGATTCTCAGCTGCACCTCACTGTCTGGAGTTCAGCATCGATATGGCAGAGGGGACAAAACTTCTGCTAAAATGTGTTGGGGTTTTTTCATCTGAGTGTCCTGTGTCTGCGACCAGATGTGTGGAGACTGAAAAACTGGTATATTTATCAGAGTGCTTGGCCAGAACTGTCAGTTGTACAAAGGCATAATTTCAGATGGCAGAGGTAAACAGCACCAATCCAAACTGCCATAAGAAAACAATGACAAACATCATTATTTCATCTCACTCTCTTGTTTGCATCAGCCTGCAATTCTGCACTCTGCACCGTTTGAATGAGAGGAAGTAAAAATAGCTGAGGGCTGAATGTGGGTAAAAATAGAATACAAGAGACGTGCGTCAAATCTCTAAAATAGATGGAATGAAAATAATCATGGTCAGAGGCTCTGCCACGCAAGGTGATGGCTATAAATTTCAAAAGCAGGAATAACACTTTGTCACTCACATCAACCAGATTTGTGTGTGTATAATACGTATTTCTACACTGCTGATGATTTCAGTTTTTGTTCATGTTCAGCTTACAACATTATGAACACGAATGATATACAGCATGAATTTGTATGACAAACCATTCATCTGAAATGAGATCCTCTGAGGTTACACTGTATCAGTGTCACATCATCAATAAAATGGTCCTCACTGCAGGGTAAACAGCAAACTAATTAGCCATTCCAGGCATGATGGCCACAGGCAGTTATCTCTATGAAACCTCTCATTACCAGCATTGTTTTCACACGTCAGTGTAAACCATACTGTCTTTGTTCCTGATCAACCAGAGCAGGTAGCTCTTGGCCAAGTACAGGAATCTCAGTATACTGTCTGGTGGTTGTAGTGTGTTATAGTTAATGAAGAACATTCTTTATCCCAAATCCCATTCTTTAAGCCCTTCCTAGGCATACTACATAGAGTATACATTGCTTGACCCATTCTCATCCCAGCTAGTCACATACTGCTGCTTTGTCAGTGAACCTAATTGTCAAAATATGATGAGCTAGGTACCCTCCTGCATCAGTTTGGATGTTCATAGATGGCGTCTCAGTTGACGCTTGTTGCACCAGGTCTTTTCAAAAATTCAATCAGTTCCATTTTCACAGGACATGCACAGTTTCTGCCCTTTACATTCATAGAATCTTTTTCAAAATAAACTTAATACAAAGGGAAATGTTTTTACATTTAGAGTAGAGTAGAGTAGAATAGAATAGAATAGAATAGATCTTTATTGTCCACCAAGGGTAAAAATTTGTCTTTGGCTCACCAGACTCAAGAGACAACAGCAGCTCAATAATATAAATTAAAACTGCCCAAAATTAAAGCTGCCAGCTGCAATAACAAGTTTAAGGCTTCAAAAAAACTGTTCAAAGTCACTGGCTAGTTTAATTCTTTCTAAAGACACCCAAGAGGCTTTTTTGTAGAGCACGTTGAGATGTAAATGTGTTAGAAATTTCAAGTTAATCAGATTCACGGTGTGAGGGTTGTGGCCTGTCAAAGTTTTAACTCTTGGCTCTCAATTATAGCGCCAACATCAGGCCGATTCGGGTCAGATTTGGTGTGAAGCATCTTGCAATCAAAAGATGCATTACGGGCATCGCATGTAACTCAACAGTTTCAGCCATAAAATTTAATTTTACATTTCAGACATAAAATATAGGTGTCAGCAGCATTTTATGAACAATAACAATGGCATAACATGGCAATAACAATCATTTACCATCTCTTTAATGCTGCTGATCTCATCCTCTGCCTGGAAGGTAAGGAGCTTCCAAATCTCATTGTTTTCTATAGTTGTGGACATTTTTGGCTGCTCTTTTTCTTTTTTGAGTCAGCTGTTAACTCCTAACAGCTTCTTTTTAAATCTCCTGCTCTGGGTTGCATTTGGATTCAAAAATGGCCGAGTTATACGAGTGCATTTTCGTTCGGACCGGCAGAAAGTTCACAAATGCCTGTTCAAAAGTTGTAAATGTTAGGAAGATATTCACAAATGCTTTTCATTTATTTGCAAATTAATTTAGTGTATTCACAGATATTTTTTTTTATTTGTGGAGTGTGTTTGTGTATTTGCAGATCCGTTTTATACTTGCAAAATATTTTTGTGAGTTTACAAATCTTTTTTGTATTTGTGGAAGGTGTTTTTATTTACAGATTACACATTTACACACAGATTGTCGATCTGTTCACACACATAATTATGAAACAAATCTATCTCCATATAAAGCCATCTGAGGCAAGTTGTGATTTGTGATATTGGGCCATACAAATAAAACTGAATTGTATGTAGAGTTACACTAATGCTGTCATCTTAAGTGCAAAGTATTGTATATTCCTCTGAAATATTGTGGAATACATGTGCAAAGATAAGGTCAAACGGAAACAAAAGTACAAAAAAATTGTAGAGGTATCTGAGAAAAAAACTGTATGCTAAATACTGTCCATATTTCATCATTAGAATGTGTCAGACAACAGTGCAGTATGTAAAAAAATATTGTACTATTTGTCTCCTGATGGATAGTTAACCTTACAGCCACTGATGTGTTACTGTAAAACCAAACATCCTGTTGTGAGATCAGTAACTTGTGTTCTCTGATAAACCAGCAGTGTGATGATTTCAACATAGCTTTAACTCACACATTTAACTACCCCATCAAAGTGACACCCTCTGGTCATTATGCATTTCTTTTGTAGGGAATTTTATGCTGATTTATAAGATGTATAACATTAGCCTGTAGTAGCACCAGATACTTCTCCTCCACCTCCTGCCCAGGCTTTTCATTTGACTGCTACAGTATGTGCAGCGTCCACCCGCTCTGTCTTTCTACAGAGGGGTTTCCCAGCACAGGCATTCCCTCAGTCTTTTATTGCTCCTCTGTTGCTATTGCAGCATGATCAGGATTATGCTTTTAACCCACCCCAAGATGGCTGCCTCCAGATGCCAGCTCACTCTCTCTTTTATC